CAAGAAGGTTGTCGTAGTCTTTTGGGTTTTTCGAATTTACACTGAGGAATATAGACAAGCTTAACTTCTTCAAAGTTTACGTCTTTAGATATTGAAACTTTTCTTAAGTGATTTAATTACCATAACCACCTGTTAAAAGGGAGAAGGTAAACCAATGACTGGGTTAATATAGTTATATTTGTATAATTATGCCTTTACTTACTCACTATACTACTCTTCCTCATTCTTAAGACTACTGGTTCACTTTACGTTAAAAATAAAAATTATTAAGGGGGCGACTTGTCAAAATCGTTAAATTATATAAACTCTTAATTTTCTACGGTATCACAGTTAACAACTATGATTCGTTATATCTGCTTAAGATATTAACACGAGAGCAAGCGTAGATAAAATGTTTTTTGTGTTTATTTAAGTTGACTAATTATTTGTTCTTTATAATAATTAAAAAAGGAAGGTATCAAGGGAAGTAATAGAAAAAGCTTACAAAAAAAGATGATTGACTACGCCAAAGAAATCGAGTTGAACAATGCTCAAGTTGCCTGTACATCAGATTTAGTAATTTCCTATCGGGTTAACGAATTATAACGTAGTCGGACATACAGAGGAATTTGACCACAATTTTAGAATGGAACACTTAAAAATTTAGTGTGGTAACCTGTTAAGAAGACACTCAACCTCGACGCATTTTCCCAAATGAGCGCTTGGAAACTAAAAAATTAGCTCGTATCAAAAATGTAAATGATATAGTAAAAGGATTAGACGCGTGCCCGAAATACTGAGACGGGTAAAAGTCATAATTACAAGAGTTCCATTTTGTTTTTAAAAATTGGTAATTAAAAAAACTACGTGTTGGGTGCTGTTGCCAGTCGAAAGTGTAAATAAAGTCTGATGAAAGGTACTTTAAGGAACATAGACAGTTCTTTAATGACTATTGAGGGGACACTCCTTTCGTTAAAATATTAGTACTTAAGAAATAATTCTGACCACCCTATTTATAAAGGGAAAGAGAAGTAACAGGGATCTGTTTTGCTTTTTTTTATTTTAAAAGAGGTGTGTAGACGATTAAGAAATAGAGCGAAAGGTGTGTTTTAACTAGAATATCAATGGTTATAATGGCGAACTCATACGAATATGAAATTACTTGACGTCTGCTATCCTTTTGTAGCACTGACTTTAATTTATTCTTTAACTTATGTTTTACTCGAAGAAAAAAATGAATAAGTAATAAGTATTTCCAAAAGCCGGAGTATTGTTCCCTTTCTGAGAGTGTGAGCGCGCAGAAAGGAGAAGAAAAATTAAGCACGAGGTTTAGTACTAAGTCAACGTGGCCAAAAAATTAAAGGTTAAATGAACTGTCCGAGACCATTCGCGAATATTTTAGTCTTAAGTACAAGTTAAGAGCTAATTTTTAAAAAGATTCCACGAGGGCTGCTTTCACATGTTATATCGTATAAAGCACAATGCTGACAGGGTAGGAGTATCAAAAAGATGTTTTCGCTCCGTTCTTGCTCTTTTAGGGGGTTTCTTCGTTCTTTTAGCGTTGCTGCTGAAAACTCTTCTGGAGACAAGACTCGTCAACGTGGAATTTGCAAATGGTTTAGCGTTGTAAAGGGTTTTGGCTATATAACTCCTGAAGATGGTAGCACAGACGTTTTCGTCCATCAATCTGAGCTTCACGCCCCAGGATTTCGTTCTTTGAGTGAGGGTGCTGTAGTAGAATTCGACGTAGAATATAATGAATCTTTGGGAAAATATCGGGTATATCCTTGAACCATAAAGCAAATAATTTTTAAATATTCTCTTTATAGGCGGTCAGAGTCACTGGGCCTGACGGAGAATACGTGCAGACGGCAGCGAGACCCGCAGCAGGGGATTTTAAGTATAATTAAACCTCTAAGTAATAATAAATTTTTATAAAGTAGTTTATAATTTTTGAAATAACTATTAATATTTTCGTTGGGTACTTATAGAAGCTTTATTTTTGGTTTTAAAAGTGGTTTTAATAGCGCTCACCTTTTAGGTCTATGAAATTTTTTTTTCAGTAATTTTTTTTTATTTATATAATGGGCGTATTGTAAGGTGTCCCCCTTTTAAGTTTTAGTATATAAAGTCCTATAGCATATCTTGATGTTCCTTTACGAGTGTTTTAGAAATCTTGCTTAATTTTATTCTAGGTAGTGTTTAGAAGATTATATTTTTGCAACTTTGTCAAGTATGTTCTTTATTTACTGTACAGCAGATTATTTATGCTAAAAGTGTGAATAAAGAACAATTTTTTAAGTTTTTTTAGTACAGACTGTGTGAAATTAAGATTTTTATTTACTTTTATGGCGTCTACTTTGACATAAATGTATAGATATTAGACGTTAAGTACTTTTCTTTATACAGAGGTGCTGTAATTTTTGTTCGTGCGATTGTAAATACATGAGTTATGCTGGGTCAGCTCTTATCTAGACAAGCGTTAATCTTGTTTATCAGGTTAGTGGAAAGTCGTATCCACTTTTACTTTCTTAGGAATTGTTTAAGTTGTAGTTAATGAAGATTTTGGCTATATTAGACCTGAACGTATAACCTTTTATTTTTTTGGGACAAGAAATTGTGTTGTCGGATGCGTTCTAACATGATTACATTAACAGCCTTAGTTAAAGAAAATTTTTTATTACATACAAATAAACCATTAAGCCTTATTTTTGTTAAGATTATACTTTAAGTACGCAAAAAAATAGGAGATGCCCACTATACGTAGTTAGCGGCAAAGTTAAAAGTTCTAGTACTAAATAACATAAAAACATGTATCTTTTAGCTTAATCCTTGATCAATAAATTTTTATTTTCATGCTTTGGTTCCTACTGGGAAGGCAGCGCATACAAGAAAGTATAGAGTATTTTGATTAAAAATATAATGAACATTGCTTTATTCTTGTTAAGGTTCGTTAATTCCTTTCTTAATAAAGCGATTTTCGATTGCCGTATTGAGTGCTAAATATGTTTGGATGGAGTTTTTAATAGAGGCACTCGTCTTTAATTACTTAGAGAATCCAAGTGAGTTGAGAGTAGGCTACATAAGGGCTACATAAGGGCTACATAAGAACAATATAAGGTCAACTTTTATCAAACCTTAACAGTTTGTCGAGTAATTTTATTAGTGTATACGTAATTCGGGCTATTACATTAGTACAATTAACAAGTTTGCCGTAGACTTATAACAAACTCGGAAATTTTCCTTTGTTATTAACCACTATTTGAAAATAATGGGTGTAGCGTGAAAATGTGAAACTATTAAAAATATCTTTTTAGTATAATAGTATGTTTTTCCCTTATATTTAAAACTATGGCGCCGATAACTCTTCCGAAAGTAATTGCGTAACTTGCCAAACATTAGGAAAACGAGCACCAAATGACCTACCCCAAACTACACGCAAGGTCGAGCACATACTAGAATCGCTTATGGGACCTCAGAAGAAAAAATTTAAAATCCTTTAGATGAGGGCATGTTACAAGACACGTCATGTCCGAATATCTTCCGTAAAACGTACTATAGATCAAACCTTATAATTTAGTCCATAGCAATGAGTAACCTACTATGGTAGATTTGTTAATGTATTCCCAAAAGGTATGGTAGATTTGTTAATGTATTCCCAAAAGGGTTTTCTTAAATTTTTTTTTGTGCACAATTTATTAAAACGTGTTAAATGCCTCAAAGAAACCTTAGAGTACTTCTCGCTTTCGCATTTTAATAAAATTCATATATAAGCCAATATCTCATTACAATGAATTATAGATATACGCAATCTTCTGAACCGTATGAATTTGAATCACCTGACCTTTATCACTTAAAGTATGTTATACTGTAAATTAGTTGTATAAGGTGAAGTAACTATTTACCTCAGGTAACCGGAACGGTTTCAAGTTATTCCAAAGAGCTGCCCTTTGTCCCGTGGGTGACTAAGGGGGAGCGCCACTACTTTTTCTCGTGTGTTTCATACACACGAAAAAATGCACCCTTTTTGTCCCATGCAATGGCAAACGACAATCGGAGTGAGGTATATTGCAAAATAGTCGAGGTATTAGATTAGAGTTTGTTCCCTACAGGCATTTGTACGATAGTGATCAAAGGACATAAAGCTATAATCAGCTTCATAAAGCATGTCCAAGTTCTGCCTAGATCGATAAGAATAGATAAGATTAGCAAGTCTCGGCGCTCCCAGCCATGATAAAGGATCACCTATCCCCCGTCGCTTTGAGGGGTCCCTAGTCGAAGGCACTGCGTCTGAGAATTATATGTAAAAACAATTTCTTGACTGACAAGGTGGAAGAAGTAAAACCTAGAGATGCGAAAATAGATTCGTTGTTTCATTTCCTATTGCACTTACTTGTAACTAACTGTGTAGGACTTGACTTTGTTTACGAAAACATTACACTAATTCTAAATTTTAAAAAAATGGTTTGGTTCTACAGATAACAAATTGTATGGCTTGTCGTCAGGTAGTAGATAGGTAAAATGATGTAATTCTTAATTGCGCATTTTCTTTGTGTTCACGCGGTATTCTTCAGCTGTTGCCGGAAAAATTTTAATACCAGAACGCGTACTCTTGAACTCGAGATCGTTGCGTCATTGGATTGCAAAAGTTGTACTAGAAGGGGTTACTTTTATTTTTCACAAAGGGTAATGGGAGGAACTTCCTCTTTCTACGAGTTCAGAGGGAAGGAGGATGGGGGCACCGCAGTGGTCATTCATTATAATAGGGGCAGTGTTAGAAGGGCTGCCCCTCTTTATGTCAATGGTGTCTCGAATAGACCCTTAAAGGCCTCTTTGAGCCTCTAATGAGTTTCAGGTGGTCGTTACCCTTGTTGGAACTATTTTTATTTTGACACTGTATATATTATTTTTGTTAGTACTGTCGTTGATAACAATTGTACTATTATTAATGACGCTATTATGGAACTATTAGTCATTATTAATGCTAATACTAACGTTATTCTTAGTTTTAGCTACTTCACCGTGACTAAACTCGTATTCTGTAATCTTTAGAATCTCTTTACCTTTGAGTTCCACTTCGGGAGCATCAGGTTAATTCAGAATATGTAAAGCCGAAAATACACTATTATTTTTAGTTAAAAAAGGCTCCTTTCGCCTTTTAGAGTTATTACTATTTGAGTCCCATTGTAAAATCTAACCCTTTCCTGAGTTCTTCTTTTATAGCTAATAAGTTAGCAATAAATGCTCGAAGCTCTTCCTCAGAGAGGAGATTCATAATTAATCTAAAGAGAAACATATAGTTATATGTTAGAAAAAAGGATACTAATAAAATAAAAAATATAATATGTATATATGAGAATTGTAATATAAGCTCAGTATTTATAATTTACGTAGTTTAAGTTTTCTAATATGTATAAGTATATTTTAAATAAATCGCTATGTAATTAAGTTAATTATTTATTGCAAATTTCTAAGTAGTTGAGGTGCTCCGGTCACAATCACAGCCGGGCGGTCCAACAAATCGAAAAAGAGATACTCGGCTATTTTGAAAGAGGTATGCATTTAATACTTCTTTTAATTTAGTATTTATTTGCTTATCCGCGCTACTGCTCACTTTTGTAATTCGGGTATAGGCGTAGAGCAATTTGGTAAATCTGCTTTCTTAACATACATTTTTTGCAAATGCTTAATACTTTACACTATTTAGAATAATATAATACTATAATTAATAACCATAAATAACATGTTTAACTATAATTTTGTAATATTAAAATCAAAGTACTATTTGTTATACTTTAGTTAACACTTAGAAATATAACATATATTGTATTATCATATATTTATTAATTCATTTTCCTTAACTCTACAAATTTATATATCTTCATTCTATTTTATTCTAGTTATTATTATTTATATTACTAGTGTCATTTTTTTTTATTGTTGTTTACATATTACTTTGTATGATCTACTTAGTTGATACGCGCGAACTGAATATACTATCCTCCACGAGGGAGTGGTTCCTTCTTTACCTTATATTTGGGGGGGGGGGGGGGGGGTTGGAAAACCGACTGTAAAATGTCAGTAATACATATGAAAATTAAACTAACCTTTACAGCAGTTTTTTGCCTTTATACTTATTCGTAACACAAATAGTTGTACTTCACAGTTTTAAATACCCCATACTTTAACGCTCAAGAAGGAATATTGTGAGTTAAAGGTTTTCTGTTTGCCCTTAAAAAATAACCAAATTCCTTTAAAAGTTATGATCTTATGACACTGTAATAATTGGACAAAGATGTCTATTGTAAATATTACCAGGTAAACTCTCTGTAAGTAAGAGTAAGTTACCATATATTCAAAATCTTCAACACCTATCCCAAAATCTCCGTCTAAATTGTCGCAGGGGACCAAGGTGTGCAAGGCGTTTCGCCCTGCAAGTGGTACACACGCACACGGAGAACACTGTTAACGGTAAGTGCACGAATTGACCTTTATTATGGCTCTGATGCTTAAAAGAAGGTGTAACTGGCAAAAGCTGCTGGGAATGAAGGTAACTACAAATTAAAGTATGGAGCACAAAAAAGCACGAGATGCTCCTGGTAAATCTGCGAGCTCTGACAAGGCGCACATAGCGATACTGAGGGCCGCAAATATACCTACAAAGCCCTATCACGATCTATTAATCGTAGAAGCCGTCATACATGGGTCCTAAACCCTATCGTTACGCAAAATATAAGTTATACACATTTCAAATATGTGTGATAGCTAAAGCTGAGATCTCTTGAGGGGTGGAAAAATAGTTCGCAACCAGACTATGCCATTTAAAGTGTTTGTAAATAAAAATTCACAGATAGAACGGTGCTCCAGGGGACAGGTATCTCTTGCTTAAAAGTTTATAAACCACTGCCCAGCCAAATGGTAATTCATACTGCCTCAAGTCCCTATAGAGCTGGCACTTACATCTCTTGGAGAAAAACGCTCCGTCAACGAGGGTAGCGTCACCTATTGAAGGTGTAAAGCCAAAGATATGGCTAAAGTGCGTTTTGCTAAAGGACATACTTCAATTCTTTAACGCTGCCTTAACTCCTATATTTGTTTAAAAATTGTCTAATAACAGCCCTCGGGTGAGATGACTTCTCTGGAAACATTGTCTTGTACGTCCTCCCTCTTTGAGCATGAGTCAGAACCTTCTGAATTTGCCGTGATGTCGGTTGTTCCCATTACTGCATTACTGTTGGTGCTGCTGTCTTTGCACGAGCGGCGAAAGTACCCTTAAGAATATAAAATTTTTTGGCTAGGTCATTAATCTCACACAAAAAACTTATTAGTTAGAGTAGTAGCAAGTAGTGTCTGGAGTGGGTAGGTTTTAGATGCGCCAATCAAAAGGCTGCCTAAGGCCTTCACCCGGACTTTTAACGGGCGTATTTCGTGCATTGACGTAAAAATGAACCTTAGCAACCTTGACGCAATGAAAGACCGCAGAAAAGGGACTTGCGTTGAGTTCTAGGCGGTTACTCTTAGTTTCTTCTAACTTAAGATAATTTTTGCCTTTGTCCGCGTAGTAAAATATATATTAACCATAGCGCCTACGCCGATAATGTGGAAGTAGAAAAGAAGCAGAAACAGGTTTATTGAATTGATTTACACCTGCCCCCTTGTAACAAAAGTCAGGTGGAAGGCGCAGTATACAAGCATTAAATACCAATATAAAAAGCATTAAAATGCATTATCTAGTTTTTATAATTAGAAATACGGACAAATTCCTGAAGATTCGCCTGAGTCTTGTAACTTACATTTAAAAACCGACCTCAAACCTAACATCCAATCACCGTCGGGAGGGCCTTCGTGGGTATGTGTTACACGAGGGAGCAAGCTCGCAATAGTGCAACCCAAACATTAATGACTTATCCTTTGGTAATGTAGAAATGCTATGAATCTGACATGTTAAATACGTCCAATGCAGGATAACTTTACAATTTGCGTTTTTAGCGCGTAAACAAATATTCAAGACTTCCAAACTTAGGATGAGGGAGCTAATTTATTACTTTCTTTAATAAAGCTTCCATCGCATATTCTCTCTTTTATTTACTTTTGCTTCTACATCCAATTTCTAAGTACCGTTTCTTTCTACAGTTTTTTCCGGCTTTGGTATAGTTGTGCATTAGCTCCACTCTTGCTCTGAGATCTTAGCTCTGTTTACTATTTTAACGCAAGTTAATAATACTCTGTTTTTTATCTCCTTATAAATTTTTAACTCTTATAGGTTCACCTTCGAATGCTTATCATCGTCAGAGTGTCCTACGAACCCCGAAATCGTAACAGTAAAAATCTCGTGTCCCCATAAATAGGCAAATTTACTTGTTTTTCTAGCAAAATAATTTCATGACGTCTTTCCTAGCTTTAACTTGCAGAATTTTGACGATAGAACCAAACTGTTTTTGCCACAGAGGGCGTCTTCTCTCTTCAAGATTTTTAAAAAAAAAAAAAAATGTAGCCATAAGAGCTAGTTTCTTATTGCTCGCGGTAGTACGACTTATAATAAAAAAACTGCCAAGCCCTATATTCGTACTGTTTTTCGTCTCTTGAGGGTGAATCTTCGCTAATAAAGTAAGGTTAGTTTAAAAGTCAATTTTTTTTTGTCTTTACGTAAGTGTTATAGTTATTATTTTTTAAAACACGAAGAAAAGTTTTTAGTAAAATAGAAATTTTTTAATTTCTTTACACCTCGAAAATTGTTAGGGAGTAGAACTTGGTTATTTTATTCACAAAATAATTATTCAAGGGTCCCTTCTATATTTTAGTCGCATTTTTGACTAAGTTGATATTTCGAGGAACTTCATTTTGTTTTTTACCATCTAATCTCTTAGAGTATTCGTATGTTTTCCCCGTAAAGGGTACCAGTCGTTAAAATTTAACTAAGCTTCAAAGCTTTTTGCTATGATTGACCGACTTATTTAATATTTCTAAAGGCAACAAGCTTAAAAGGGATCTAGCTTTCTATTTTCTTTTTGTCGTCTCAAAAGCTTGATTCCATTTAGCTACTTCGAATACTCGAGCTTTTGGACAGAGTTAGTCGCCATTACAAAGATAGTAAAACAGTAGTGTTTTCAAAGCAAGGGAATCAGGGGCCCCTTCAAACGGGAGAGAGATGCTTGCTATGTCAGTGTAGAGCGCGCGCGACCCAAAGCTACAAAGGCATAAAAGAGCCTCTTTCCTAGTTGGTAGGAGATAGAAATCCCAACCAATTCTTCCCTCACCATTCTTTCTTCTTCTCTTTGCTTCCGCCTCTCCCCATTCTCCTCTCCTTCAGTTTTTTTAAAAAATTCACGTAATTAATTAACTGGTCAAGGTCTCTTTCGTTGAGGAGATTAACCAAACAAATCTTTCCATTGACTAGTATCGGCCATGCCTTACCGCCCATATAATTAAGTAAGAGCTTTTTAATGTATCAAACCTAATCATATCAGAAACTGGTTGAGTTTTCCGTGTTAAGTCAAATAAAGGCACAGAACCACTCCAGATTGTGCTCTTACGTTAATTCTTTCAAGTTTTAATCTTGCGACCATACTCACCCCGGAACCTAAAAACCTTGATTTTTCGTAGAGCCTCTAGTGGTCACTTAATTTATACCACTCGTCTAGCACTCTACCAACAGTTCATACTATTCATATATGCAACAACTCAAGGGCGGAGAACGAAGTTAACACTGGTTAAACATTCACTTATTAGAGGTATTTAGTCACTAAGCTAATACCAAAGCTAACGCCTCATCTATTGCCCCTATCATACCCTCTAGCATATTTCCTAGCTGATACCGTTAAGCCTAAACTTAACTTCAGACCTTACAAAGTCACTCAACTTTTTCGGTTCCGAGGTAGCACTTGATTTAAGGGGGTAGGTCATACCTCTAGTAAGTCAAGAAGAGGTGTAGCAGGCGACCTAACATTGGCGTATGTCGCAAACTTAATCCTAGCTAAAAATATTTTGTACAATTAAGCCGGATTGGAACTCTCCGGAGGATACTACCTGTAGAGGTCAAAGTGGAGGTAATACCTCCTAAGGGCACTACTGTATGCTAGAGGTTTTTCTTTTACACTGAACAATTTATCGCACAGTGGGTTAACCAACTCTTAAAAGCACTTTTTGGTACAAGGCCACTAAGGTAACGTTGAACTAAAGCAAGATAATCACATTCATAATTACTATTAAGTAAATTTATTTACGGTGCTTCAATTCCATTAAAAAGATGCTAAGAATAAATTCACAAAGAATGTTTAATGCTCAAGAAACACCTAAAATAATAGTTTTGAGGTGCACTACGTTCCCTTGATTGTTATGGGATTAACATTTATGAATCATGTAATCATAATATGTGGTACATTATGTTCGTTCAGAAGGTAAAAATCGTCCGTATATACACAAGCTTAGCCACCTATTCCACAATTACAAGATTCTCAGGTCAAATTTTCGTTTTCGCAGAATTGATTTACCGGCAGAACCCTTCCTCTCGACCTCACTTCTGCTTGCAGTATGAGTTGTTGGTGTTGTGAGTCCATCTTTCACACAGTATCGTGAACAATCTGGAGTTCTTAGCTCGGCAGCGAGTCTTTTTAATGATCTTTACTGAATCATTCACCACAGTATCCAGTTCAAAAGAGAGTTTCCTTGCAGCTAGATGCACCCGGTGGATCATACAGTGTGTGAACAAATCTTCTTGGAGAACAACTTCAAATTATTTTAGCAACTACTCCTGAGCGTTGACCAGTAAGGTTCGTAGCACCGTCCGTGAACACCAACCTGTGTTTGAAAATAGTTAGTAAAGAAAATTAAATAGCTCTGAACTAGTGGCTCGGACTACGTAATTAAGGCAACGTAGAAGTTCTTCCCTTAATCTTCATCTTCACTATACCTCACGAAGCAGGTAAGATAGCATGGTCCCTCAATTCAGTTAATTTTTCACGTTGAACCGCAAATTATCTCAATTTCTTTAACCTCTTTACAACTTGCCGTTATATATTGAGTCTATTTCAAAATCCTCCCCT